TAAGACACTCCACATGCCTACGTCCTGTGAAGACGTACTTACTAATATGAACAAAAAATGCACTTTTTGACTGTCCTCATTGCCCACGGGATAATGCCATCAAGATCATGCTATAGGCTTCACGTAAATTTTCTGTAATTTAGAATACAGATGCCATAAGCTGACTTATTTTTCTTAGATCCCCACAAAGTGTACTTTCTGTCTCTTATCCCAAGAGCGATGAAACCAAAGGAGGTTAAGATGTAACTCACAGAACAGCTACTCTCCACCACTGTCATAGAACATACTTTAAAGATTTAAAGCACAAAGTTGCAGACTAGCTATTTCCTATACTTGCAAGACAATAATACTAAAACTGTAATTCTGCTGTTTTTGGCATAGACTGGTAATGATATTTCGGTGCGAGTGTGCCAGGTAGGTGAGAGAGATGCATGATTCCTAACGTGACTTTTGAGTGTTTGGCAGTGACTAATTTAAAAATGTTTTTTCACAGGATATTGTCATGTTACTGAGTGTTTTGGTTTTTTTGTTTTGTTTTTTACTTGCTGGTTTTGCAGTTATTTGGAAGAACTGACAGCAGTTCTAGAGAAGATTATCACTTGATGTAACTTTCTACCCTTAATGCTACTAGTCTTTTCACTGGCTGTTTAACTTTGGCTACAAAACGTTCTAAAGCTTTGCTCCATAGAATGGCTTCTACTTATTGCTTAAATAAAGAAAAAAAGTTTCCCAGTTGATTATTGTTGTCTGTGTTTTCTGAATTAAAACTTTACACTTTGGTTTATGGGAAGCTACTTGCCTTAACCTGTTAAAGGTGCCTAGTTTGTTGGAAGGTCGTGGTTAGCAAAGGTGTTGGTGGGAACTTGGTCATGGCTTTTAATCTGGAGCAGTGTGTCACTGAAGAAAATATACAACATGTTGTTCCGTTACGGTATCGTTTGAGGTCCTATCTGTTCCTTCAAACTTTATGTATGATACTAGCTATTTGGATATTGTAGATGAGATGTTGTGTCCATATCCTTACCACATTCACCCAAACTTACCATTGCTTTTTGTAGCTGATTGAAGAAATGCTGTGGTCAGCAGCAGTCGATCTGGATAGATTCCTCAACTCTTCGTATCCAAATGCCCTTATAAAGAAGGGCATTCTTATAATAAAGAAGTTATTTAATAAGGTTATTTTGTTTACAAAACTTCAACAAATCAAGATCTTTAATATACTAAAATACTTTTTATTATCAGAAGGTGAAAAGTGACATGAAGGTGGATTTTCTGTCGATTGTAGACTGAGTGATAAAAGGTAAGTCTTCAGAGTTCACTTTTTTTTCAACAGACCAAAATCAAAATATTTTTGTGATTGTGTTGTATGCAGGTTATAAAAATAGAAACAGCTATATTTAGGGTCTTAATTTCAGGGATATTAGGCTCATTTTTTTTAAGCCATGTTGTGCTACCATTAAAAACGGAAGGGCAGTAAAGAAGAATACAAATGGAATGTAATAGCCAGTTCTACTGTACCACGGATCCCTTGGTTTTGAGTTCTCATAAACAATGATTGAATCAGACAATGGAGAAGAGGAGGAGATCTTCTCTTCTGAAGGCAGGCTCCTGGTTGACCCTTACAAAGAAATTGCAGCAGTTCTATAAGGTAATGTTTTCTTCCATAACATCTAATTCTGCACCACTCTCATGATTCTTCTTGTTAACCTCTTTGTTGCATTCTGTGCTCTGGACGTGCCTTATGTTTTCAAAGTAATAAGATGGGACAACAGGTGGATACAGACAACTTAAGGAAGGAGATACAAAACTCTCATCTGCCTGTCATTTATTTTTATATATATATATATAATCTATATATCTATTTTTTGTACTACATTAATGCCAATTGTTGTCTACTTTCCATATGCGTGTTTAGTGCAGCAAAAAAAAACCCCCAAAACCACAGCTGTTATCAGCATACTTGATTATCCATGTTTTAACATAGTTAATCAAAATGAGCAAGTATTATCAAGACTTGCCAAGTCTGACCAGCACCCTTTTTTTTAGACCTCCAGAATGATATGCTTCTCCAGTGAAAGGCTTTTCCTCTGTTTTAATAAGCAAATGAAAAGTGAAATGATGCAATGTGCAGAACATGACTCTAGGAGGGGAATTTTGTAATATCTATTTATATATATGTATGTTAAAAATACACTTGAAGGTTTTGTATATCAGATTGAGACACCATGTCAGAGTCTTTACATGTCTGCAATGTGAAGTCTTTTAGCAACTTGGCCAAACATCTATGGGAAGTGGAAAAAAAAATTGGTATAGGTAGTTTTGTAGTATTTTTAAGTGGTATTTTACCATTTTTGTTTAAAGGTGGATTTTTAAAGCAGCATTAGCTTTGTGCTATGCCTTCTGAAAACAGAAGTATAGTTAAGTCAGTGATATGCGCATTTGAAAAATTTCAGCCAAAAAAAATAGAAATGTCACTCCTTCAGATATGCGTGGAAGCCACACTTCTGCTAAAATAGTAGGTACTTATAGTTCATATACCCTATGTATCAGTGTAGTATTTTTGTTGTAATTCTTGTAGACTGCTGCCCTCTTTGCAACTACAGAAGCTGCCTGAAGATATGAATGTTGCAGTCTAGTGTTGTTTTTCTTCCTAGTTTTCGTCTTCACTGTTTTTTCCAAAACAGATGGGGTGATTTTAACTGGTCCTGGCCTATTACAGAAGAAATAAAAAAAGAGCGGGAAGTGGTAATTTAATTAGCTTGTCTTGTGGACGCTGCTTGTGACAAAAGACTTAAGGAGAAAGTATATTTCTGGTAATTAAAACACACCAGAATCAGAATAGCTTTTTTTCTTTTCTTTTCTTTGCAAGATAATATTCTAACAGATGCTAGAAGGAGTTGTGAGCAAAACAAGGAAAAAGAGCCAGGAAAGTAAACTGCTAAAAGATCCTCTACGAGCGTAATTGTGAAGCTGGGTCTCGGTCCAAGAGCCTAACAATACTCACATAAATAGTCTTTTATAATCCTTTGCTATCTTCTCACATTTCATTACTAAGCAATTAATAGTTTTATTTTTGATCTGGCCATGGTGCTGAATTGTTTGTGTTGTGAGATTTCTTTTCTGGACTAGTGAGCTTTTTAAAGCACTTCTGTTACTTAAAGCCCATTTGGGACGCTTTTGAATTGTATTTCCAGTGTTTGAAAACAAGATGTTTGAAGCTGCTTGACTAGATGCACAGTGTTGTTAGGAAATTAGGCCTTTCACCTGTAGTTAGCTAGTTCAGTATTGATCCAGAATGGAGGCAAATCGAAGTCTTTTGCTATCTCTTGGATTAACGCAGTCCTGTTCCTGGTTTAACCAAAAACAAAATGCCAGGATGCTCAAAGAAATCTTATAGTTGGTAACTATTGGCACCTTCACTGGAAATCGTAGGAGAGAAGTCTATGGCTTACGGAACTCTGGACACTTCCAGTTCAGTAGTAACACTGTGGATGAAAGTCCACTCTCCTTGTGTCTTTGTCCTTCGCAAGTAAATAGAAGAATGAATGAATAGAATTCATGAGGCAGAATGAAGAGCCTCTACTTCCTGTCTGTTGGTTTTATTGCTGTAACTACATTCCTTTCCCCAGGTGCTCAGTTGCGACTTGTGTTTGTATTGTCCCCTCCTTTTGGCAGCTGGAGACCATTCTTATAATGGCAGATTGCTATTCAGGGCACCTCCTGAAACTCAAATGGCTTGGCATTTTCACTGACTATAAATCAAAGTCATGTGATCTGAATGCCCCAAACGGTCCAAGGTCCACATTTGTGATCAAATTGCTTTCAGTGCATGTTCATTGATTTACTGGATGACTAGAACCATTTGGGAATGTAGTGAGAAGCCTCCCTAAATGAAGCCAGCATTTGTAATCACTCTGTCCTTTGATTCGCATAAGCTGCTTAGTTTTGGCATTGTAAAGTAATGGTATTGAAAAGAGAGAGAAATGCATGAAAGCACAGTAGAAGCAATGGCACAGAATCCAGAAAGTCGCTGGAGAGATGGATGGCGTGGCTGCTCCAAGTGGGAACAAGGCCTGCACAGGTTGTGATGTGCTAGGACCGAGTCTTACTCATGGAACCAAATTGTTATCTTTACACAGACAGTATTTAAATAAAACTTGGAGGGTCAGGGTTATGATAATATGTTGCACTTTATACCTGAGAGCGTCAGGGCGCTTTGCAAGTACAAAGTGATTAAATCCAGCCCTACTCAAAGGATCCTTTTCCTGTATGAGAGAGAAAGTGAAATGAATCCCTAAGGATCGCATGTTAAATCAGGAGAAGCACACAGGAATAGAATCCTAAATTTCTTTATCACCTTCCTGATTTTTTTTTTTGTTTTTACCATGAATTTTTGCTGGATAATGCCCAGCCACGAGCCCCTCACCGTCTCACGGACTGGAGGGCACTTTCAGGCAATAAAAACCTTTTTACTGATTTACAAGAGGCAGGATTATGTCCTGAGAAAGAACAAGTTCTAAAGATCTCAGTGACGACAGTAGGATTCTAGTCCACACAAAACTGTTATGAGCAGGGGAAAAAGTACTTTTCCCTTATTTCTGCTGGCTGACTAACGGTCAGCAGCATGATTAAACGGCGTCCTTATGGACTGCAACATTGTATTTTTCGTATCTCAATAATGACAATAATGCAACAAATGTGCACAATTTGTATTGTTGCCTTTAGACTCCCTCTAGTGGCTTTGTTTAAAAATTACCTCTTCTACCAATGTGAACACAGAGCTTAAAATAGAAAAACGCGTCCAAACTACAAATACCAGCAGTGCTCAGCACAGTTGAGAAAGGACCCCAGGACACACCTCTCAATTTTATTCTAATAAATATTTCTAAAGATTTTTATTTTTCATCTAAAGCTGTAAAAGCCCATAGAAAACCAAAGCATTTCTAAACGTTATCTCTGTATTTGCTTTTTGTTTTAGCTGCTATGTTTTGATTTGGTGGGTGGCCCTTTCTACCTCATAGCAGAGTGACAGTGAGAGAAGGACCCAGACCTTTAATCTTGTTTTGCAGTGGATTTAGCAGGGAAGAGCTGCAACAGCCTGGAAATTACCATGGAAAAGATACTGAAAACAGAATTGAAAACTTCCATTCTGAAGGCATTTGGAAGCTCGGGAGGAGGATACATCAGCCAAGGCCAAGGCTATGAAACGGACAGTGGACGAGTATTCGTTAAGATCAACCACAAGTCTCAGGTTAATGCAAATATTTAACTACTAATATTATTGCATATAAAGAGCAATTTTTTTTTTTAAGTTAGCAGTTACTTGTTAATGATGGACAATTTTGCATTTTCAAGCTTTGAATTGTTCAAGCTTTTCTCTCAATTTTCTTTTGAAAGCTGTAGTATATTTTACATCAAGTATTAATGCAGTGGGGTTGGTTAATGTTGCACGTGGCGTAATGCCGTAAGATAGCCCTCAACAACAGGAACGGGCATTGCTGTATGGAGGAGAAAAAAGGCCAAGTGCAGAGTTGTTTTTGTAATACTTAGGGTCTGGACAAGTCTAAAGCTGAATTTGCATTCGCTGCATTCCTCTTCATATTTCAGCTGGGAGGAGAGAAGAGTGGGAGGGAAAAAGAGCCAGTGCATGTGTCAAGCTTCCCCATTGTTTTCTGCGTTTCTAGCAGTAAGATTATTGCAATTTTTCAGGCTTAGCTCTTGACTTTCTATTACTAAATAAATACAGTGCTAAATTGTCTTTTCCAACCCAGTGCATCAGAAATGTGCTTACCAATATCGAAAACATCCCAAAACTGCTGTGACGAACAGCATCTTTACCTTAGAAGTACAGAGCACAGTACGTTAAACAGGTTTAATGTTCGTGCTGTCAAGCCCATCTGGTGGCCAGTGACCTGCGTGGAGAGAAAGCGCCAGTTTAAGGATGCAATCTTTTACTTCATTTAGTAGTGATCATCTGTGGTTTTGAAGGAGGTCGTCTTGTCTCTGAGGATACACCCAGCTGTTCCATCTCAGTAGTCTGATGTTGCCGTAAGTAACTGGGAATTCAAGGTGAAGTGTTCTCTCTCCTACTACCCTGGGATGAATTTGGGGAAAGAGATTAAAATCCTGCTGAGGTAATCAAACAAGCCTGCCTATGTGGACTGAAACCTTGCTGCAGTTATAGTCTCTTATCAGGAGGAATTAACTGTTATGTTTGCAAACAAGGCTATTTTTCAAAGTACTTGTTGCAGACATCCATAGTTTAGCCCAAGGATGTTCTTATTCCTTGACAGGCTAGAAAGATGTTTGAAGGGGAAATGGCAAGTTTGGAAGCTATTCAGAAAACCAATACTGTGAGAGTGCCTCAGCCTATTAAAGTAATTGACCTTCCTGGAGGAGGAGCAATGTTTGTCATGGAGTACCTAAAGATGAAGCATCTCAACAAGTATGTCTGCACTTCTCTCTGTTTTTCTTTCTACTGCCTTTTTTTTCCAGAGTATTCTCTTATATCTATGCTCAGTCAGAGAGATTCCTGAAAAGAACATCTCTGTTCTCTTACAGATGCAGCTTAAATCTGTCAAGATCCATGTTAAAATGTGTATGCATATACATGTTCAGTCCTTCCCCATAATTTGCTCTTCTCTGACCTTCCGCCTGCAATAGAAATGGCACGCTCTGTGGCTAGTCTAGAGCTGTGTGTGATGGCTGGCGGACCAGTCCGCATGTGCTGATCAGTCAGATGTTACTAAAACGAATGGGAAAATGGCTCCGTTTTGCCCATCTTTCCCCCAGGAGAGTATTAATTTGAGTTCCTTTTCCCAGCTTATCAGTTTTCATTAAACTTATTGGCTCCTTATGTCTTTGAGACCTACTTCCTTAGTAAACCCAGCTGAAAATGGAATTAGGCTTTCAAGAGTCATCACCTTCATTCCGCTGCTCTAAGGGAACGTAGTGATGACTATGTGCCTCCTGGCAGTTGCCTGCCAGCTTATTCTTACTGGGAGAATAATGGTAATTCCACAGCCTCGCTTAACAGTCCATGAGAGTTGTTTACTGTTCCTAATATTAGGAAAGGTTTTCTAATGTCTAACCTCAATCTTCTTTGTTGCAATTTTAAACCCATGACTTCTTTTCTACTCATTCTAATCACGGAGAAGAGATTGTTCCCTTTCTTGCAGCTGCAAGGTATCTATGCACAGAAACTAACTGTTTCTCTGTCGTCTTTTTTCTAGGTTAAGCAACCTCAATTAATTCAATTTTTTGCTCATGGCTTTTTAGACTTATCATTCTTATTGCTGCCCAATTGATCTTGAAGTGTGGGGCCCAAAACTACATAATCCTGTTCTGTTCTCTGCTTATTAATGTGGAGCTGACCAGTAGGATTACTTAATGGCTTTCACACTGTGCTCCTATGTATACAACCTTGTGTTATGTTTGCTATTTTTGCAAGAGCATATTACTGACTAAAGTTCAGGTTATTATCTGTTATTAAACCCTTTCTACAGAGTTGCTGTCTAGCCATTTGCTCGCTATTATGTATTTGTGCAGCTGAATGTTCCTGGCAAATGTAGAACCCTTTACTTGTTCATATTGAATTAAGATTTTTTTCCTGTAATGTTTCCTTGATCCTACAGATATTCTTCAAAGCTTGGAGAGCAGATAGCAGATCTTCATCTTTATAACCAGAAGCTTGGAGAGAAATTGAGAAAGGAGGCACACACAATTGGTAGAGTATAGATACCATGCACTTAAACAAAAATGAAATAATTCATCTGGCTGTGACTCAGTAGTGCGCTGTAATTTTAATGATGGTTAAAGTCTGCACCGTGTCACCATCTCATACGACACCTCCTATCCATATGCTACGCTCCTCAAAAGGACCTTATATGCAGAGTAACTATAATCACTATTATATACATTAAACAAATCTTATCCTTTTAAACTGGACAATACTAAGTGTATATATTTTAATTCTTAATTTTGTACATGCTTTGTTACATAAAAATATGCTGATACTGGAATTTAGTAAGAAATAATGCTTATAGTTGATATTTATAGCTTTCAACTTTTCTTAAACCAAACTAACGATTTGGGCTAGAGATCTCTTTCAGTATTAGTTAAGACTTTCAGCCGATCAATCTCTTGACCTTACAGACATTCTTCTTTTTATTTTTTTCCCCGTCAATTCAACCAATGAGCTTATTACAAAATATATGCCATTTAGTAAACACACAATGAAATATCTCTTTAAGTATATGGAGAATTTTTGAACTCAAATATTTAGTCTAATATATAACAATTGTTGCTTCTTGAAGGCGGTTATAATTCAGCACTGTAAGGTCATGATCCATTTTCCATTGACCTCAGTGAAAGTACCTTCCATCGTTCTTTGGGAAGTGGATTAAGGCAAACATGAACAAAATGGGAAACCATACAAGGAATTCTCTTTCTTTTAAAGTGGTTAGTATTAAAATCTGGTGCCCTGCTTTGTTTCTGCATGTTTCCCATTACTTCAGGAATGGACAGAGTTTGATCTGTACTGGTGTACATATTACATTCCATTATTTTTGTGAGAAAGCCAGATACTGGCAAGTCTCAAATAATTCATGACTCAAAAATAAGCCATGTTTAGTGGCAACATGTTCAAGTGTCAGAACAGGGGATTACAGATCAGAGATCTAGACTGTGTTCCTGAATGTGTGTAACTCATTTATCCAAATAAAAGTCCCTAATTGTGCCTCTGTGTCCATTTAATATATTCGAGGTTAAGATAATTCTTTCCATCTTTAGAGAGGATTGTGACCGTGAAGTAAATGTAACTTATAAGTGCTCATACTTAAAAATGATTTCTTATGCCTATTGTCTGAAATTTAGTTCTGTATTTGCATGCTTTTCTATGTAATGATCTTAATTCTTTTTTTTTTACTTTTGTATTTTTTATTTATTAGGTAAAGGTGCAGGTCACTCTGAGTTTCAGTATGTGGATAAGTTTGGATTCCATACAGCCACTTGCTGTGGCTATATACCACAGGTACGTTCTATGTCTGTGAAAGTTAGTATGTACTCGTACCGTTTTGCAAACTCTGTACACAAAAGCTTGTTTTATTGCATTCAGCTTTAAGATCACAGCTTTGCTTTCAGTGTTTCATTTTTATCTGATGGTGAAGTAAAAGTGATGGCTATTCAGTGGCATGCAGCAAGCAAGTGCAGTAGTTTGGACAAGAAGTTAAGATTATGTGGTGGTTCTTTGGCTTGGTGATACTTAACAAAATAAGTATCCTTTCACAAGCCATATCTTAGTTTTTGATTTTTCTAAACCTCTACTACATAGATGGCAAATGGCAAAATCCACTGCTTTTTAGAGGGCCTCGGCAATAAAACCTCACGTAAAACATTGGAACAGGCTCTCAGACATAAATCAGCCATGTTCTGACTCCGCATAAGGTAGAATTTCATTCAACTATTTAACTGAATGAACTTTCGATATCTGAAACTCTTTGCTAAGTACAGCTTTTTACCAAATTACCTAATAAACCTAATTACCTAATAAAATTGAACTGTCCTCCTAAGTTTTCAGAAAGATTTTGGAGTACAATATGGAAAAACTGAAACAGGCTCATTAGAGAGTCTCCCTCTAAAATACGTGATTAAGGAACTTTGAATGACTGAAAATGGCCACAACCTCAACTTATATCTGCTGTTAAAGACAGCCCCACCTAAGCGTGGAAGAAAGTGCCGCTCCTAGCTGAACAGTCAACCGAATGTATAGTAACATTGTCTAGGTCATACATTGTTTAGACTGTTGTGTCAGCAGTGAACGTTTTAACTTGATATCTATGTATTTATTAATACTGACTAGGCATATGTTAAAAATGTTTGTCATAAACTTTTGTATCATATTTTCCAGGTGAATGAATGGCAGAGCGATTGGCCTTCTTTCTTTGTACGTCATCGACTCCAAGCTCAATTGGATTTGATTGAAAAAGATTATGGAGACAGAGAAGCCAGAGAACTTTGGTCACAGCTAAAAGTATGAACCATGTCTTAAATCTATTATTTGTGAAGTTAGAAAGTATGTGCCAGTGGAACTGTAAATGTTTTACAGCAAATTTACATGGCTTTTAGTGAACAAGAAGAACTTCACAGCTGGTCTAACGTCAGTCAGTTGAAAAGGATTCATGCTGCTTTCAGTTTTTTAAATGGATATTAAAAATAAACCTCTAAGTCAGCGCTGAAATTTCATTCTTAGAATACAGCTAAGAATGATAAAATAGGAAGTCATGTCTAAGAACTAAGTTCCTTAAATCTGAATATCCCCATGATAGCAGCTCAGGGAGAACCAGAGGGCAGTGTAATCTTCTTTGTCACTTAAACCATTTCTTTTAAATGAAATTTATTTTGGATTTCTTGTGACAGCCCATACTGTCCATGTATGAAACAATACGTTAATACTAGATGTTGATGGTAGGATATGAAGTAAATGATTTGCTAAGCACTGCCAAGAATAAGTAAGAACATTCATTACTGACTTGTAGTTTAGGTTTATGCTTGTAGTCATCGCTTCTAAAGCGCTCCATGAGGACTGAAAACAGGCAGTATTTGATCAGTTTTGTCTCTTATACTCCAGGGTATTCTGCTTATTTTAATATTTTGTTCAAAACTCCTGAACTGTTACCTGTTTGTTCATGCTTTTTCAGCTAAAGATTCCTGAAATGTTCTGTGACATAGAAATTGTTCCTGCTCTCCTGCATGGGGACCTGTGGGCAGGAAACGTGGCCGAGGACGACTCTGGGCCAATTATCTTTGACCCTGCTTCCTTTTACGGCCATTCAGAATTTGAACTGGCGATTGCTGGAATGTTTGGTGGGTTTAGCAGCTCTTTTTTCTCTGCATATCACAGTAAAATACCCAAAGCTCCGGGATTTGAAAAACGAAACAAATTGTATCAGCTCTTTAATTATATAAACCATTGGAACCATTTTGGGACAGGGTACAGGGGGTCTACCCTAAACGTAATGAGAAAGCTTTTAAAGTGAACAAAAAAGGTTTGAGAAATTCTGACCCTGCTTATCAGGGTCCCTGCTTATCAGAAGTAATACAACCTAGAAGTTAATGTTGATGATAAAACACAGGATAGATGTAAAAGGCTTAGTACACTTTTGAGCCTCAATAAATGTTAGGAGTGATTGTGTTATTTTTACTGTATATGCTAGTTTACTACCACAGATTCATACCATGCTGAAAAAAGACTGCATCCTTTGTGAAAACTTCACTAGACTGGAAAAGTAGCATGATAGGTTAACCTTACTCTCTGTAGACTGTCCTACTTGTCAGTCGCTGCATTTCCATGCTCTTTTGCATCTTGCCACTTTTCCGGCTGTTCTATCAGCAGTTCATTATTGAGAGCTACCGTTCTGGGATTGTGGTACTGGAAGTAATCACTGGTTCCTTACCTCTCCCCTTTTTTGTTGAGTTTTCCTCTTCTCTTCTGTGTCTGTTCCATCCCTTTCCCCATGTATGTTTCTGTGTTTTCTGTCCTCCCCCTTGTAAGAGTTCTGATCCAAAATTTAATTCAGATTCTATGAATCTGGAAATGGAAACCTCTTTTTCATGTAAAGAGTAGATTGGCCCCTTTGGACTGCACTTTGCAAGGCATATATAATAGCATTTCTTATATTTTTTGTACTTAATTTAAGAGAATTTTCTTAATAGTAACATTCCTTAGTAGGTTATGCTATGATAATAATGTATATTTAAATAACTTTGTAAAAATATATCAGAGGAGGGAGACTTAGCTGTTTGATGACAAGAAAGCATCTACTATTTCCGCAATGCTGACTTGCACTTGATTTTTTTTAGTTCTAGAAAATAACGTATGCTAGGCAAAACTAGTCTGTTCTACCACTGCTGGTCTATTGAAGGAACAGTGTAAAAAATGGAGGGTTTAAAAATATTTTTAAAATATTCCTACTTGCTTTATTTTTACAGAAAAAATAGGCAATGAGAACATGTAACAAATATCCTGGCATGCAATGTGAGCCAGAATACATTAACAAATCTGTTTTTTAATGGAAGAAAGTTAGGGGTAAAGAAAGTAAATGTAAGTGCAATCCTAGAAAGGCTTATGTGAATTGGAAAATCTGAATTAGACTGACTGTGAACCTATGCCTTTATGCTGGTTGTAATGCCTGATACCTAAAAAGTTATATTTGAAACGTTCCAATCTGTTTAGAACTTTTTTCCAGCTTTACGTGGTATTGCTGTGATGAATAGTGTCTTGAAAATAACATTATTCCAGTTAAGGAGAATATAGCAGGCACTGAAGCAATGTCTTTTCTTATGTTTGCTACTCTGTAAAAGGTTTCTTATAAAGTTTAAATGTTATAAAATATAAAATATAACTTTAAGCAATTGGACATTAATTCTGTGTAAATATAATACAAGTAGTTTACAATTTTTACTTACTTTGAACGTGGGTTACAATGAGGTGAATCTGTCACATTGTGTTTCTAACACTTGATACAATTATAATAGTGGAAAAGTGGAATAACTTGTGTTGGAATCCAGTTGAAATTGTAGCTGAGAGCTACAGGAGCCAGGTCTGAGAAAACAGCAAAGTGCATGAGAACTAATATTTATTAATGTTAACAAAAATACTTAAGAACTTAAGATCTGTGTCAAATAAAATACTTGCCTTGCAAAAACTAGATGTAGGGTGTCCCTGCATCTTGTGTTCGTGGTTTGCGTTAAAGAATTTGGGCCTGAAGACGGACATTCGGATACAGATGGAGTTGCTGGCTAGTCCCTGTCCTGGCTTGAGTGTCTCCCTGAACTTCCTTTAAAATCAATGGAGGGAAACCAGCAGCTCCTGAGGTGACTTGTCTCACCCTAAACCACCGCTGTAGTTTGGCAGTCGGACTGATCCTTTGGGTGTAAAAAGCTGGGGCGCCTAACTCGGTTTCTATTTCAGGCTCCAGTTTTAAAAAGTTCCCTCTTACGGGCAGTACACGAGGGGAGAAGTCGGGAATGAAGGCTGGTGTCTGGTAAGAGCACGTAGGAGTAGCTAAAGCGTGTGGGGAAAAGCAGAAGGGAGGGAGAGGAGGTACCAGCTCTGAGGTGGAACCGTACCCGGTCCCCGCCGAAGGGGTGCGCCTGCTGCCTCCCGCCGGGCCCTCTGCCGCCCCGGGGCGGGGGGGAGCGAGCGGCAGCTACCGGGCGCGCGCGCC